TGCTGCTTCCTTGACATTGAGACCACAGCTTTCATCCTCCTGATCTGTAAAAGCACATCCCCCTCAACTTCCATAAATCTGCAAAACTTGAAAAGAGTCCCAGTGTCATCAAGCAAAAGAGACGGCATTAGGAATCTCACTGCAAGGAGGGGTGTCTTCAAGCCTCTCACTGCTAAGCTGGACATTTCCTAACACTGGACAAATTGTACGTCCAGCTCAGGGAGGGTGAACTGCAGTGGTCTTTTACCCTCCAAGCCAATTGTTAGCTTTTCATAGGAATCAGCAGGGAAGCACATGTGAAACCTCTGTGTGCCGGTGAGCGCCCCCATGCCTTGTGTGACTCTGCATGTAGATGAAGCAGGCTGGGAGCTTTCTGAGCTGCGGCTGCTGAGTTCTCAGAGAAGCCCTTTTCTCCAGCTTGGCTCCCCGCTGGGACAGCCCTTTTCAATTTTTCTATCCCCCCTCGATCTCTTCTCCTGCAGAACACAGGGAAACTTGATTGAAATAAAGACCTAGGGAACATGTTTTATTTTCTCCTGTTCAATCCATTTTAGAAAAGCTTTTAATTGGTTTTAAAAAGATGCTAAACAAAATGTGATGATGTTTTTCAGTCTTCATGAACTACTGATACCACTTTTTATACTTTCAAAAGGCTAATAAATCAATCATGAAAGTAACTCTCCAGCTAAATTTAAAGCAAATCCACTGAATACCAGGTTCATTAAAAATCTATGCATTTACTTAGAAAAAATGTAAAATTCAAAGAAAATTATCCTAGTAACTGAAATCTGACTTGAATTTTTAGTTCTGCACTGAAAATCCAAGAGCAAGGCAATCACAGAGGGAAAAAAGGAGGGCTTGTGAAGCAGTTTTAATAAGCCAATTTACAAGAAGGGAGGGGTGGGGGAGGGGTGGAGGAGGAAAGAGAATATCTTGATACATAACAACATCGTGCCCCCGGAGGGATTCTTTTATTTGAGCATGTGCACACATGCACACACCATTTTTCTGTGAGAAATCTGGAATTACAACAAATGCAAAATTAAGGATCCTGTGTCTGATATGATTGCTGTATTGTGAGATGTGCAGTTCTTTCTAAAAGAAAAATGCCCACCGCTTTTGTTTCTTGCCAGGAAGAAAAGATAGTTTTCTCTTACCTACATACTTTCATACTTCACAATTTTCAGATGCCTATAGTTTTAACATTTAATTGAAAATCTATGTGGTAATGGTTTGGTGAGATGAATGCTTCTACTTTAGAATGATCAATATTCTTGGCACTGGATCAGCATGGAATTTTTCCCAATTTTCTTGAGACAATATACACTAAGCAAAGTGGTACAGAGAAGGCATGTTTTTATTTTGCTAAATATGTGCCAACTAGAAATATTCTCAATATAAATTTTTCCTGGCACAAATTCACTTATGCAGCAGGTCACCTGGCAGATGGGGTTGGAGCCACCAAATTCTGATTAATGGCAGACTGGGGTTCTCTTACAAGAGAGTCCCTGCCATTCTCTATCACTAAGGCAACCAGGTTTCTTACTTCTTAAATGTGTCACATTCTTGGAGAAACTCATTCCACATCCCTTTTTAATGATCCCATGGCTGTTTCTAAGACTGTCCCAAGCTGGGCCATGGATCTTGGATGATCACCCTTTACTTTTAACTCTCTATAAATCCTCATTTCATCATTCACATAGCTTGAGAAACCACATTTGAAAAATGTGATCATTTTATTGAGATATAACTCACATAGCACACAGCTCACTCACTGAAGCGCACAGTTCAACAGTTTTAGTGCATTCACAGATATGCAGACATTGCCATAGCCATCTCTCCAAAACAAAAAAATCCACACTCATTAGCCTCTTGTCCTCCCAGTCCCTGCCAACCACTAATAACGTATTTTTCCATCTTCATAGAACTGCCAAGTCTGGACGCTTCATATAAATGGGATCATGCAGTCTGTGGTCTTCTGTGACTGTCTTCTCTCACTTGACACATTTTCAAGGTTCATGTACTCTGAAGTATGTACTAGCATGCATTTTTATTGCTGAATAATAGTCCACTGTATGGACATACTAGATTTTACTTATTGTTTTCATTTTTGGTTACTATGAAAAATACTGCTATGAACATTCACACATAAGCTTTTGTGTACATGTATGTTTTCATTTATTTTGAGTGTATTCCTAGGAGTGGAACTGATGGGCCATCCCCTAACTTGATGTTAAATCTTCTGAGGAATTGCTAGACTGTTTCCCAAAGGAAATGCAATTTTTTACATTTCCACGAGCTGTTTATGTGGATTCCAATTTTCCTAACTCCTCAGGAACACTTTATTCCTGACTTTTGGATTTTATATCTTAGTGAGTGTAAAGCACCTTACTCATATAAATGATCTACTCACGTATTCATTGATCATTTGAACTTCATATTATAAAAATTTTTACTTATTATTTTATGTGTGTATGATTGGGGAAGGGTGTGCGCCATGGTGAAAAGGAGAGGTCTGAGGTCAACTTTGTGGCATTTGTTTTCTCCTAATACCTTTACCTGGGTTTCAGGAATCATTCAGGTTGTCAGGCTTGCGTGGCAGGTGCCGCACCTGCTGAGTCATCTTGCTGGCTCCTCAACTTTTACATTTTTGAATGTGTTAACATTAATTATACCTTGTCTCCTAAGTCCATGAAAATGAAAATATGTATATATATATATATATATATATAATGTGTTTTTTGAATAAATTATCCATGAAGGATGTATGTATATGCATACATATATACACATATATAGGTGCTATGAACTTTACAAGCATTAAGATAATTTTCCTTCCCTTAAGAATCTTATCATTATATATTAGGAACAGAAATAGTTACTCTTTAGCCTTTAGTCAAAATGTTACAGAGGGCCAGCAAGATGGCTCTGTAGGTAAAAGTACTTTGTGCGAAAGCCTGACAATCTGAGTTCAGATCTTCACACACGCGCGCACACACACACACACACACACACACACACACACACATTTTAATAATAAAATTTAAAAATTTAAAAATATTACAGGTCATTTGTTAGCATTTTTATTCATATTTATTTTTTAATTACGAATAACTTTCAACCAAAAGATGCATCTGTATTTAAACTAATGTGTACCGCACTTAACCAGGTAAAGGATAAGAATTCTTTTTTAATTGAAAATTTATTTATCCTGTCCTAAGTGACTTTTAGTATAATTTCTTTTTAAATAAAAAACAGACTATTGTAATAAATACATTTAAATACCTGAAAAATCTCTACCATTCTAAACATTTAAAATATGCTGGATTCATTAAAAATGAATGCATGATATAGGCAAATTCTGGGGAGAAATTACTTTTGTTTCAGCAGGACTGCAGGAATCACTCTGAACCACCGAGCCAACTCTCCAGCCTACACTTTAGGAAAAATTTAAAAGCACTAAGAAACCTAGAAAATCAAGACAAGTCTTTTAAGTGTAAAATATGCATGTATGTATTCTAAACAGTTACATTACAAATCAGATTCACTAACTAGGTTAAGCATGTCCATCTCCTTATATCTAATCACACACAAGATTCCTATACAGTCACTAAGATGTTCTTCAAGTCACTACTCAACCCCCCTGTATCCACCTGTGATTGGCATGTCTTCAATGCTATACCACAATCTAGAAAACCTGTCTTGTGACAACGCCAAACATATTCTGGAAGTCTCTACATATGTGACATATTTAACCAACCTGCATAAGTTGCTTGTACTTTTGTTATGGTGTCAAAATTGCCATTCTCTAGCAGCCACATCAGTAAAGATGAAACAGAAAGAACTAAGATCCTAGCTATAACTTCATTCCTTAAAACCACCAGGTGGCGCCGGGTGTGGTGGTGCACGCCTTTAATCCCAGCACTCAGGAGGCAGAGGCAGGCTGATCTCTGTGAGTTCAAGGCCAGCCTGGTCTACATAGTGAGTTCCAGGACAGCTGGGGCTACAGGGAGACCCTGTCTCAAAAAGCCAAAAAAAAAAAAAATAAAATAAAATAAAATCACCAGGCGGCACAAGAGAGATAACTAAAGGTCATCTATGAAAACCAAAAAAAAAAAAAAAGCTCAAAACCCCAAACCCCAAAAACCCACAAACACCATCCAACTTGCCTATAGGAAGTTAACATAAATTTCCTCAAATATAAATTCTTAGGAAAACCCATGGAAAGAGAAATGAAACCAATGGGAGAGTATGTAATCCCTCTGCGTATGCATCACAATTACTTTCTGGAGGTGTTTGGGATAAAGTGTAAAATATGCTGCTGAATTTACAAAAGATAGAATACTAATTCAAATGGTCAGATTTTGTTATCTTCAGAAAAGGAAAATAAAAAATATTTGTTAAAGTAATTTAGGCCAGGTGTGATGGAGCACAGCTTTAATCCCAGCACCTGGGAGGCAGAGGCAGGTAGATGGATCTCTGTGAGATGGAGGCCAGCCTGGTCCACATAGCGAGTTCTAGGCCAGTTGGGGCTACAGGAGACCTTGTCTCAAACAAGCAACCAACCCTTAAAGAAAGTAATTTACCTTAAGACAGAAGGCCAGATTGGATGACCATTCAAAATCCTTCAACAACACAATTTTATATTCTATGATAACCTGATTAATTCAGAGAGTGTGCCACTACATAAATTTTACTTAAAAACTCTATGAAGGGCTGGAGAGATGGCTCAGTGGTTAAGAGCACTGGTTGCTCTTGGAGAGGACAGAGGATACGAATTTGATTCCCAGCAACCACACTGTGGCTAACAACCGTCTGTAACTCCGCTTCTGAGAGATCCAATGCCTTCTTCTGACCTCTGTGGGCACTGCATGACATGGGTGCATTTACATTCATGGAGGCAATACACTCATACACATAAAATAAAAAATTATAAAATATATTTTAAGTAAATAAATAACTATGAAAATAGTCCTTATTATCGTTATCATTAATTTTACCTGAGGAGGTGCCTTTTTCAGTAACACAAGAAGAGCCTGTAATACCAGGTTAGAAAACCGGGGGCCAATGGGGACATAATCTGGAAGAGAAACATGGTTGTGGGTCAGGAATACACGATACTTATGGCACAAATCCAAACATTCAGATTTTTCTGAATCAAGAGTAAATATCAGTTGTACTAAGAATCAGGCAGTATCTATAATAAGAAAAATATCCTCAATAATTGAAATTCTTAAAACATCATGTAAGAACTCATATGTATTTTTTTTTTCTTTTGAAGCTTCTAATATCCACTTTGATTCATGTGGATATCCTTTCAGAGACATTTTTATTTTTATTTATTTATTTATTTATTTTGCCCTGCATCCCAGAGACCAGCTCGAGGAGCGGGGTCTGAGACATTTTTATTTTTAAGGAGAAAATATCCAGGTGCATTTACCAAGCATTTCTAAGCAATTACTGCAAATCATCATAGTGCATTTATATATACTACATGGACAACAAAATTTGACAGTGCAAAATGGGTAGAAATTGCTCGGTGATAGGGTGCTTCCTTAAGGTCCTAGGAGAAAAATGGTATGAAAAGAAATTTTAATAGAACTACAGATGGCCCTCAGAGAACCTTCTACCTGTTAAACTTCAGTACTCCAAGACTGCCACTTTCTTAGCTTTCTTGATACACTGAACATGCACCTAGCCCTGTACTTCAAGCTACCTGCAGGAATGAGCCTCTTGAAGTCAAGTGTTTTCTGAATATCCAGGACATATCCTACTGACTGTGACTTTTTGCCCATACAATTAATAAAGAACAGGCAGCACCCTATTTCTTCTTCTGAAACCCTCCCAAAAGTAGTAATTCTAGCAACATTTACTGAATAAAAGAACAGACAAGGACAGGAAATAACTATTCAGACAAGTGAAAATATACTCTGAAGGTACAAATTCTTGACAGTGTGGTGCTATGACCACATGCCTCAGTTGTGGTTAGATAAAGGAATTTACATAGAACTATGAATATACGCTGAAAATCTTTTAAAAAAGAAAAAAAAATCCTATAAACTGGGCTGAGATGTATTAATCATAGCACATCCAAACTCCTGGTCATTAGGTAACGCTATTAACTTGAGGAGACCTCACAGATATACCTACCTGCTTTGTTTTATAAGAAACATTGCTAAAACTTTTTAAAGTAAACAACAGAGGACCCAACACAAGTCTGAACATCACAGGAAAGTGAATAACAGTTTACTTGAAATCATCACTACACCATTTTGAGCTGCCTAAGGAAGTTTAATCAGGTGTTGAGAAGTACTCTCAGATGTTTGTTAAATTAGCACCTGTTTTCTGTTTCAGTAGCCGTTTAATTTTTCAATGAATAACATGCAAGAGGATCAAGAATTTTCTGACATTTACTTAAGCTTAGTTCTTCTACGTTGAGTTCAGGGACTAAGTCTTAATCATCTTTGTATCCATTGTACTTTGACATAAGATATTTAATAAGTATTTTAAAAATTATTATAGAGCACTGGGCATGGTGGCACAAGACTTTAATCCCAGCACTAGAGAGGCAGAGTCAGGTGGATCTCTGAGTTCAGGCCAGCCTGGTCTACATACAGAGTTCCAGGCCAACTGGGGTTACAGGGAGACCTTGTCTCCAAACAAACAAACAAACAAACAAGCAAACAAACAAACAGAGACTTCAGCTGTCACTGGCAAAGAGTACAAAGGCCAAGGGTTTTGACTCACCGAGCAGTCTCTCAATGTCATCCACAACCACACAGCTGAGTTGGGATTTGTACGCATCATCAAAGATCTGGAAGAAAGCAAAACCATCTATTACCTCACCATCCTCCACAATTGTGACAACTTCCATAAAGATTAAATTTGGTTAATCCTTGAACAATACCTAAATAAAGCATGATAAAACACTAATAATACAGGCTATAAAAAATTATTATAGGATTTTAGAATTTAGTGGGTCTTTGCAGGGAAACTGAAAGCAGTTAAATGACTTGTCCAAGATAACACAACTGGATGGTGACTGAATAGAGTCAGCAAATTAAACAAGCAGTAAAGAAAGCTGTTATCTTTTGGCAAAGATGGAGTAGCAATTACAAATAACAGAAGACTCGCCTGATGTACAAACTGCCCATGCCCTTGAGGCCAGCCCTTTTATGAATGACAATGGACCTATTCTGGATACTGTAAATGGAGCTCAGTGAATCCCATTGGTGTCATGAGTAAAGATTAATTTCTGTATCCAGTGTAATCTCTCCGGTTGATAACTAACCTTACTTCACCACAATGGTAAAACCTGTTCTAGCTGCCACCCACGTCTTGCTTTAGGTGGCATACTATTTCTTGGTGGGTATTTTTTAACCATAGAAGATTCAGAATTAAGTACAGAAACTAAGTCATACTCATATTAACATTTTTCATATTAAACCTAAAAACAACCTGTGTATACTTGGTCCTTAAAGAATTCTTGACAATGAGGAAGAGACACCACAGTAGGATCCCATTGCTACCATTTTAACCCAGTTCCTTGGTTCCTCTTTCCATCTCCAGGTATTCCATTAATCAGCCCCTGGAGTAGAAATGTTTTCTTTTGATCCTTGTCCTGTAACTCTCTATCACTGTCCTATGCTGTGTCACAATCCCATCATCTACCCTTTTCTCCTTGGCTACCTGTCTCCCCACTGGGATATGAAGTGGATTAAAAGCCTCACTCTGTTCATGACATCTCTCTCTCTAGTACCTAGCACAAGAGAGTATCCAGTAACACTGTCTGCTCAACAGATTCAAAGCTGACACAACACGGCTCTCATCCCAACATGCTCTGTGTCGTTCTCCTCTCTTCTTTGGTTCACCATTTTGCACACTGTGGATCTGCTGTTCTTCCCTGCAGTGTACTAGATTATAAACACTCAGTAGGCAAGTAGTAGTTTCATTACTCTATAGCCTCCTATCAATTACTATAATGCCTTACCAGAAAATAACTGACAAGTGTTTGTTAAACATAAATTGAAATGTATGCACTTTATATTCAAGTAGAAATAGCAAGTAAGTATCAGAGATGTCTGACTGAAATCAGGGTAGGAAACCCTCTCAGGGCAGTGGCAGGTGAGATCATGACTGCATGAGACTTTCAAGGAGCAATGGGAGAGGAGGAAGAATAGAGTCCTAAGTACCTAGACAGTAGGAAGTGCTATTGCCATATGGGTTCCATCATTTCAGCCAGTCACCCCCACTATTTATGTTGAGCACTAATAAAGCCACTAGAGAGGGTAATAGGACAGATGACTGTGCCCTCTCAAAAGCTGGAGTAGAGAAGGCAGGCTGCATGTAACTGTGAACTGCCTTTTAAGAAGGTTAGGGAGCCACTGCATGCTTCACCACAGTCTTCCTCCTGTCTTGGAGGCCACGGAATCACGAATTAATTACCTAGTTGCCTGAGTGTCTGAGAAACTACAATGAGCAGCGGTCACCTTCTGAGCCATGGTGCAAATGCCCTATTCGCGAAAAATAAGTCTGACATGCTACGCCACTGAGACTTTGGAGTTCTCCTACTGCAGCATAACTCAGGCTACCCTGAGTCACAACAGCATGGAGGGATCAAGAATGGTTTCCAAAATTAAAAAATGACATTTAGGTTGAAACCTGAAAGATGGCATACTGAATATTAGGGGGTCAGAGATGAGAACATTCAGGAATGCTGAACGAACTGATTGGTATACAGTCAGTAAGAATTAAAAACAGGAAGTGATGAAGGAAACTAGACATAGAGGGTTTTACAAATTGCGATGAGTTGAAATTTTATTGTAAAGGCAATAAAAATGCCAATATAGTTTTAAGTAATGGATTGAGATGTCAGGCTTCTGTTTTAGAAACACTTTCCTGGCTGATATATAGAAAAGCATTAGAGGAAAGTTAAGAGTTTGAAACTGTAGAATTCCAGGTAAGAATTGGCAGTTTGGGGTGTAGGGAGAAGTCTACAGACATTCAGAAGACAGAGCAGAAGGACTCAGTGATGAGGGAGAAACATGAGTCCAGGGATCCTGTTGGTTTGGGAATGGATACTGAACACATTTGAACAAGAAGGGTGGAACTGTTCAGTGACCCCACCCTGTCCTGTTTCAAAAAAGGAAGAACATGAGAGGAGAGGATTTTTAGTCTTCTGATGACTCCCTTTTGGCTTTGAGTTAGTGAGTTCAAGACAATGGAAAAGTCTGGAAGTATTGGTTCTTTGCTATTTTTGAAGACTGGATAAATACAATGAGAAATCTTATAAACTCAGGTAATTTCAAGGAATCACTGAAAATAAACTTTGCTTTTTAAAAGATTTTTCAGAGTCCTACTAAAAGTTCTGAGGCAGATACATAATTTCATCACTCAAGCTGTGAAATCATAGTTTAGAATGACAGATTTGGAACACTGTGCTTCTACACTTTTCCGAAATTGGTTCTTCTTTCTCAATACGACATATAGCTTACATGGCTATAGCAAACACAATTAGGACATTTGCTGGCCTAAATATATGATTAAAACGTGGCACAGTAATGCATGCCTGCAATCCCAGTCTGGGGGAGGTAGAGGCAGAAGGCTCAGGAGATCTAGGCCAGTCTCAGCTATATAAATGAGTTTGAGTCTAGTCTAGGGTTCATGAGACCTCAAAAGAAAAAAATAAATATGAATGAATAAATAACTAGTTTATTCTGTGTCGTGCAGTCTTGACATCTTATGAACCTCACAGTTGATTATATGGGCTACTTATAACACGGTAGAAAAAAAAATGATGGTAGTCACTCAATACAAAATCTTCTTAATTAAAAGAAATAATTTTTTTTTGTTTTTTGTTTTTGAGACAGCATCTTCCTGTAGCCCCAGTTGGCCTAGAACTCATTATGTAGACCAGGCTGGCCTTGAATTCATAGAGATCCACCCACCTCTGCCTGCTGAGTGCTGAGATTAAACACCTGTGCTACCATGCCTGGCCACATCCTCTTAATTTTTATTTTATTTTACAAAATAAACAGCTCTCAGCCAGGTGTGGTGGCACATGCCTTTAATGCCAGTACTCAGGGAGGCAGAGGCAGGCAGACCTCAGATCTCTGTGAGTTCAAGGTCAGCCTGGTCTACATAGTGAGTTCCAGGCCAGCTGGGGCTACAGGGAGACCCTATCTCAAAAAGACCAAAAAATAAATTAAAAACAAAACAAAACAAAAACCAAACAAACAGCTCTCAGTGCAGTAATTGCTGCCAAGGAGGTGAGCGTTCACAGCTAGCTCCCTTAACAATGTACTAACCATGACAAAGCCTGTGCCAAAGCCAGTTGAAACTTGACTAGTTTCAGGTGACTAGTCAACTGAAACTCCTCTGGGTGGCTACTCTGCTCTAACTTGAATCTACACGCATGCCCCTTTCACTTCTTACCCACACAGTCCCCTTTTTATCTGGTGACCAGTACAGTATAAGGTCATCACTCTTTCCCTGGATCCACTATTTATGTATAGTCCTCTCAGAAACTTGGTTTCCTGGCCCAGACCCCAGCAGGATGCTTACTAAGAGACTCAGATTTGATTGGCAAGCACAGATTAGCTGGCACCCTAAAATCTAATGAGATATTTACAGACTGAACTGGAAACTTTGACCATAATTTTATGTAAATCAATTCAAAAAGGAGGTGAGGTATTGGAAGAAACGATACAGGAAAAAAAAAAATCATGCAAAGTGCCCCAGTTAGAATACCACATAGCTTGCCATCAGACACAGCACACAGCCAGACACACAGCACCTGCTCCAGATCAAGTACATCATGACCCTGGGGTAGTTGGGTGGGCTGAAGCTAGAGCTCGGGGTTGTCTTACAGACTCCAAAAAAAGGAATCTAAAATGTATGATCATCCTAGTGTCATCAGGGAGTTTCCTGTAGAGCAGGTAAAATGGCAGCACAGCTTACTGTGCAGGACTCCCTGAGAACCCATGGTTGAGGAAGAGCACCAAGTCCCTAAAGTTGACTTCTGAGAGATCCCCAGATACACAGTGATAATAAATACAGTTCAAAACTTTGAGAAACACTATCTTGGAATTGATTTTGTTGTTGTCACTCACCTGTTTATCTATCTTTCTATCTGTCTATCATATATCTATCTATCTATCTATCTATCTATCTATCTATCTATCTATCTATCTATAGTATATGCATATACTTATGGTCTAAGTAAATCAGGTAGAAAGTCTGAAAGAGAAGGGTAAAGAAAGAAAAGAACTGAAGAAGGAACAGAGGGAAAGAGCAGCATCAGTTAGTGTGGAAATGATGAGGCTTACTCTAATAGATGAAGACAATTTTCAGAAAACAACTGTTTCCAGCAGTTTACAATGAGATTGTCAGTGTTAACTATTCTACACTACCTCTTATGCTTGCAAAGGAAGACAGTACAGTACAGACATGAGGGTTCTAAGAGACAACCCAGACTCTGGGCAGCCTGGGCTCTATGTGAGAGCATGCTGGAGACATGGTATAAGCACTGAGGAGCAGGGGCTGGGGCTCCTACACGATGCAGGGCACCACAAGCTCTCAAGGCACAGAGCTCAGTTTTGGAATCTTTAGACCAGCTAGAGCCACCTGTGAGGAGGGAGAGGCAGCAGCTGCATTTACATGGAGTCTACATGAATTTGAATGGGAGCATGCCAGCATTATCAGCTCCATGTTAATCCTAGCCTTTCAGAGTCACAAACCACAGCAAAGTGCATTCTAAGTAGATTCTATCCTCCATTTTCTATAACCTTTTTAATGCTCTTAAGTAATAAAGCC